TTGGGGGGGTGGGTTCTCGGTAGGGCTTGGGGGGGGTGGGTTCTCGGTAGGGCATGGGGGGGTGGGTTCTCGGTAGGGCATGGGGGGGTGGGTTCTCGGTAGGGCTTGGGGGGTGGGTTCTCGGTAGGGCTTGGGGGGGTGGGTTCTCGGTAGGGCTTGGGGGGGTGGGTTCTCGGTAGGGCTTGGGGGGGTGGGTTCTCGGTAGGGCTTGGGGGGGTGGGTTCTCGGTAGGGCTTGGGGGGGGTGGGTTCTCGGTAGGGCTTGGGGGGGTGGGTTCTCGGTAGGGCTTGGGGGGGTGGGTTCTCGGTAGGGCTTGGGGCGGGCTCCAGGTACTCAACTGACGGGTTCCAGTTCACTCAACTGGCGGGCTCCGGTTCACTCAACTGGCGGGCTCCGGTTTACTAAACTGGCGGGCTCCGGGTGTTTGACTGGTCGGGCTCCGGGTGGGTGACTGTTCGGGCTCCAGGTGGGTGTCTGTCCAGCTTCGGGTGGGTTCTTGGTTGGGCTTGGGGTGGGTTCTTGGTAGGGCTTGGGGTGGGTTCTTGGTAGGGCTTGGGGTGGGTTCTTGGTAGGTATTAGGGCTGGGTTCTTGGTAGGGCTTGGGGGTGGGTTTTGGTAGGGCTTGGGGGGTGGGTTCTCGGTAGGGCTTGGGGGGTGGGTTCTCGGTAGGGTTTGGGGGGTGGGTTCTCGGTAGGGCTCGGGATGGGCTCTTTCGGGATCGGGATAGGCTCTCGGGCTTGGGGAACCTCTGTAGGGCTCGGGGTAGGTTCTTGGTCGGGCTCAGGGTGGGTTCTCGGTAGGGCTCGGGGCGGGCTCCAGGTACTCAACTGGCGGGCTCCGGTTCACTCAACTGGCGGGCTCCGGTTTACTAAACTGGCGGGCTCCGGGTGTTTGACTGGTCGGGCTCCGGGTGGGTGACTGTTCGGGCTCCAGGTGGGTGTCTGTCCGGCTTCGGGTGGGTTCTTGGTAGGGCTTGGGGTGGGTTCTTGGTAGGTATTGGGGCTGGGTTCTTGGTAGGGCTTTGGGCTGGGTTCTCGGTAGGGCTTGGGGGGTGGGTTCTCGGTAGGGCTTGGGGGGTGGGTTCTCGGTAGGGTTTGGGGGGTGGGTTCTCGGTAGGGCGTGGGGGGTGGGTTCTCGGTAGGGCTTGGGGGGTGGGTTCTCGGTAGGGCTTGGGGGGTGGGTTCTCGGTAGGGCTTGGGGGGTGGGTTCTCGGTAGGGCTTGGGGGGTGGGTTCTCGGTAGGGCTTGGGGGGTGGGTTCTCGGTAGGGCTCGGGGTGAGCTCTTTCGGGATCGGGATAGGCTCTCGGGCTTGGGGAACCTCTGTAGGGCTCGGGGTAGGTTCTTGGTCGGGCTCAGGGTGGGTTCTCGGTAGGGCTCGGGGCGGGCTCCAGGTACTCAACTGATGGGTTCCAGTTCACTCAACTGGCGGGCTCCGGTTCACTCAACTGGCGGGCTCCGGTTTACTAAACTGGCGGGCTCCGGGTGTTTGACTGGTCGGGCTCCGGGTGGGTGACTGTTCGGGCTCCAGATGGGTGTCTGTCCGGCTTCGGGTGGGTTCTTGGTAGGGCTTGGGGGTGGGTTCTTGGTAGGGCTTAGGGTTGGCTCTCGGTCAGGCTTGGGGTGGGCTCTTTCGGGTTCGGGATGGGCTCTCGGGCTTGGGTTACCTCTGTAGGGCTCGGGGTAGGTTCTTGGTCAGGCTCAGGGTGGGCTCTCTGTAGGGCTCAGAGTGGGTTCTTGATAGGACTCGGGGTGGGTTCTCTGTAGGGATCAGGGTAGGTTCTCGTTAGGGCTCTGGGTGGGTTCTCGGTTGGGCTCGGGGCAGGCTCCAGGTACTCAACTGACGGGTTCCAGTTCACTCAACTGGCGGGCTCCGGTTCACTCAACTGGCGGGCTCCGGTTTACTAAACTGGCGGGCTCCGGGTGTTTGACTGGTCGGGCTCCGGGTGGGTGACTGTTCGGGCTCCAGGTGGGTGTCTGTCCGGCTTCGGGTGGGTTCTTGGTAGGGCTTGGGGTGGGTTCTTGGTAGGTATTGGGGCTGGGTTCTTGGTAGGGCTTGGGGGTGGGTTCTTGGTAGGGCTTGGGGGTGGGTTCTTGGTAGGGCTTGGGGGTGGGTTCTTGGTAGGGTTTGGGGTTGGCTCCCGGTCAGGCTCGGGGTGGGCTCTTTCGGGATCGGGATAGGCTCTCGGGCTTGGGGAACCTCTGTACGGCTCGGGGTAGGTTCTTGGTCGGGCTCAGGGTGGGTTCTCTGTAGGGCTTGGGGTGGGTTCTTGGTAGGGCTCAGGGCAGGTTCTCTGTAGGGATCGGGATGGGTTCTCGGTAGGGCTCGGGGCGGGCTACAGGTACTCAACTGACGGGTTCCAGTTCACTCAACTGGCGGGCTCCGGTTCACTCAACTGGCGGGCTCCGGTTTACTAAACTGGCGGGCTCCGGGTGTTTGACTGGTCGGGCTCCGGGTGGGTGACTGTTCGGGCTCCAGGTGGGTGTCTGTCCGGCTTCGGGTGGGTTCTTGGTAGGGCTTGGGGGTGGGTTCTTGGTAGGGCTTGGGGGTGGGTTCTTGTTAGGGCTTGGGGGTGGGTTCTTGGTTGGGCTTGGGGGTGGGTTCTTGGTAGGGCTTGGGGGTGGGTTCTTGGTAGGGCTTGGGGGTGAGTTTTTGGTAGGGCTTGGGGGTGGGTTCTTGGTAGGGCTTGGGGGTGGGTTCTTGGTAGGGCTTGGGGGTGGGTTCTTGGTAGGGCTTGGGGGGTGGGTTCTTGGTAGGGCTTGGGGGGTGGGGTCTTGGTAGGGCTTGGGGGGTGGGGTCTTGGTAGGGCTTGGGGGTGGGGTCTTGGTAGGGCTTGGGGGTGGGGTCTTGGTAGGGCTTGGGGGTGGGGTCTTGGTAGGGCTTGGGGGTGGGGTCTTGGTAGGGCTTGGGGGTGGGGTCTTGGTAGGGCTTGGGGGTGGGTTCTTGGTAGGGCTTGGGGGTGGGGTCTTGGTAGGGCTTGGGGGTGGGGTCTTGGTAGGGCTTGGGGGTGGGGTCTTGGTAGGGCTTGGGGGTGGGGTCTTGGTAGGGCTTGGGGTTGACTCCCGGTCAGGCTCGGGGTGGGCTCTTTCGGGTTTGGTATGGGCTCTCGGACTTGGGGAACCTTTGTAGGGCTCGGGGTAGGTTCTTGGTCGAGCTCGGGGTGGGTTCTCTGTAGGGATCGGGATGGGTTCTCGGTAGGGCTCGGGGCGGGCTCCAGGTACTCAACTGACGGGTTCCAGTTCACTCAACTGGCGGGCTCCGGTTCACTCAACTGGCGGGCTCTGGTTTACTAAACTGGCGGGCTCTGGGTGTTTTGACTGTTCGGGCTCCAGGTGGGTGTCTGTCCGGCTTCGGGTGGGTTCTTGGTAGGGCTTGGGGGTGGGTTCTTGGTAGGTCTTGGAGCTGGGTTCTTGGTAGGGCTTGGGGGTGGGTTCTTGGTAGGGCTTAGGGTTGGCTCTCGGTTGTCAAGCTCGGGGTGGGCTCTCGGGCTTGGGGTACCTCTTTAGGGCTCGGGGTAGGTTCTTGGTCGGGCTCAGGGTGGGTTCTCTGTAGGGCTTGGGGTGGGTTCTCTGTAGGGATCGGGGTGGTTTCTCGGTAGGGCTCTGGGTGGGTTCTTGGTCGGGCTCGGCAGGCTCCAGGTACTCAACTGATTGGTTCCAGTTCATTCAACTGGCGGGCCCCGGTTCACTCAGCTGGCGGGCTCCGGGTGGGTGACTGTTTGGGCTCCAGGTGGGTGTCTGTCCGGCTTCGGGTGGGTTCTTGGTAGGGCATAGGGTTGGCTGCCCAGACAAGTACAAGGGGAATGTTGTCTACGCTTATGTCGACCGTGCTCTAAGCCACAGCTCAGGATGGAAGCAAGTCGATGAAGAACTCTGTAGGGTAAGGCAGGTCCTAGTCAACAACGGCTTCTCCAATGGTTTCGTTGAAGACATCATAAAAAGGAAGGTGAAACACCATGCAACCTCTGAAGAGTCAACTAACACAACACCTGTACCCCCTATTAGACTATTTTACAGGAACCTCTTTTCCACAGCTCATAAAACGGAGGAAAGGGTCCTGAAAGATATTGTTAGTAGGAACGTTATCCCTACAGACAAAAATCAGAAGATACAATTTACTATAAAACCAAAAAAACAGCCAACCTACTCATGAAAAACTCTCCTGACACAAAGCAGAACGCCTTAAAGGAGACTAACGTCGTCTATACCTTCGAATGCCCACTTGGGGACTGTAAGCCTCAAAGAACTCAGTATATAGGCAAGACAACAACATCTCTTTCCAGGCGATTAACAATGCGTAAGCAACAGGGCTCCATTAAGAAACATATCTCTTCCCACAACCAGGCCATCACCAGAGAAGTCTTAACAAACAACACAGAAATCATCGATAGATACAGCGATAGCAGGCAGCTTGACATCTGTGAGGCACTACACATCAAGAAGTCAACACCAGCAATCAACAGCCAATTGATGCACAACTATATTCTACCCACTTCAAGACTCCGTACCAATATAGAAGCATCAAGAGGAAGTATGGGTCACTAGGCCCTTTGCAGTTACTTCCATTCTTCCCTCTCATTTATCCAATTTATACCCATTGTTCCATGTTCTGCGTTGGTCAAAAGTTTGTTCACCTCTTCCAAAACTGTTGCAACACATCACCTCACCCAAATGCGAGTATATAAGACAAGCTGTTTAATGTTAGCATAAGTAAAACTCTGTTTAGTGTTCTCAGGTTACAGTTGTGTGTGTATAAACTAAAGTCTCTGAAAATGTAACAAGTTATTACGAAACGCGTTCAAGCCTCGCGTCAGACTAGAAATAAAAATGAATTTTGGAGAATTGATTTTTCAATTACCATCCACAGTAAAAAAGAAACATAAGAAATATTGAGAAAATTCGTGGTAGAATTATTAATCTTACCTTTTTGGTCATATTTAACAATATATACATTATATATAATATATATATTACTCTTATTACAAATTCGGTACTTACCGCAGTTTGGATCTGGCAACCGAGGTCCCCGTGGCCCGGAACCCTCGGCCTCCACCAGCACTGTTGTGGACCAGCAGACGACATACAGGAGCAGCTCGCCAGCAACATTCCCACTCAAAATGCAGACGTCAAACAACAGCTCTGACCCACGGAGAGTGGATAAGATTGTTAGGTAAGTGAATGTAGGGGGGGATATTGTAGTGCAAGATGTTATTATTGTGTAATGATGAGGATCTGTGTGTGTGTGGGGGAGGAAGTTAGTAGGTCATCATATGGACAATTCGTTCTTATATAGGCATGGGTTTTCTTGTATCTGTACAATGCTTTGGTGTGATGTTTAAAGAATTACTTGTCTGTACACCTATATGGGTGGGATTTAGGGTATTATAGTTCGGTATTTTTGCTGTAGGGGGTATAGGTCATTACGTATACAAGATGCTTAGTTAGCAGACTTAAAACGATAATGATTAATAATAAAACAACCTAATCCATATAACATAACCAAGTCTAACTTAGTAGTACATTTTTATCAGAAAAGTAGCCTTGTTGAAATGATTTTTTACTCCCATTTTGTTTGGAGTTTGAAAAGAAATGGCGAGGGTTAAACAAAGCTCATTTATTTATTTATATACAAGAAGGTATATAAGATTTTTACTTAATTTTTAGTTTTGACAGATAAGACCATATTAAATCAGATACAAGTCATACCACATACACGATGACTCGCAAACAAATGTTAAAACCTATCTAACCTAGGGTTTCCGGGTTCGATCCCCGGTGAAGGCAGAGACAAATGGGCAAAATGTTTTTCATCCTGATGCCCCTGTTACCTAGCAGTAAATAGGTACCTGGGAGTTAGACAGTTGCTACGGGCTGCTTCCTGGTGGGGGTGTAACAAAAAAGGAGGCCTGATCGAGGACCGGGCCGCGGGGACGCTAAGCCCCGAAATCATCTCAAGATAACCTAGCTCAACCCAACCTAAACTAACCAAACCAAGAATCAACCTAACCCAAACCAATGGAGTCCAGTACAGCTTAACCTAAGCTAATACATCCTACCATAACAGTATAGTGTATACGGTTTTAACAAACGGGAAAACGAGCATCGTCGAATTATTTCATGTCCAAAAAGTACCATCCATAAAGTTTGATACGTTAGGATGTATTAGCCAAGATTAGGCTGTGTTAGGCTTGGTTGGTTTGAGTTAGCCTGGGTAAGGTTAGGTAAATTTTCCAATCCATTGGTGAACAGTCATGTGTACAGGGTGACACATTATTACAGACCGTTTTACTAGTGATAAAAAAGCAATGTAGGACTAACACAACTATTGGAAAACAACAGTTGTGTTATCAGTGTATAGTAGTAATTAATAATTTTGTACAAAGTTTGCATAAAAATGTTAGGTGTTTCAAGTAACTCACTAGGTTCTGGTAGACCTTTCATGACCCGTATAAAGGCCAGGCTGTGTGTGAAGAACTGTTAAAACCATCAACAGGTAATATACAGAAATGTTTATTGAACTAAATGCAGCTGGCCGAAGCAGCCATTGACATGAAACTGTTAGCGGCCAGTTTCATGTTAGTTACGTATTTATGGAAACTCTCCATCAGCGACCACATAACCAGATTTTAAAATGCACTATAATCTTAATTTAAATATATTTTGTTATTACAGAACTGTATCTGGTTTTCTTTACAAAGTACAGTATTTATATCATCCTACCCACAACAGTTGTTTAATTTCCGAGTACCTGTTTACTGCTAGGTGAACAGAAGAATTAGGTGAAAGGAAATGTGCCCAGCCATATCTGTCCTGACTGGGAATTGAACCCAGGATCCCCAATTGGGAGTCAAGGGGGAAGGCAACCGATTTTTACCTGACTTTACCTGAGGGCCACTAACGTATTAGTGGCCTCGACGAGAACAGAAAAGCTTGTCCAAAGTCCCCTCGTTTGCCTTGATTATTTTTTCCAGTTGGATTTTAAAATGTAAGAGTTTGGGCAATTATGTTTGGCAGGTAGGCAGTTCCATGGGTTTATAACCGTATGGGGGTAAAAGGCATCTCTTGTTTTCAGTCCTATGTTGTGGTTTGTTGAGCTTTTATAAGACATTATCTGGATCAACATCCTCCAAATTGTTCAGTATTTTAAAATTTCAATGAGGTCTGCTAAGTCATGTCTGGTTTGAAGTGTTGTTAGTGCTGTGGCCCTCAACTGTTCCTGGTATGAGAGTTGATTACACTGTGATACCCTCAACTATAATAAATTCTGTTTTCAGACAACATACAGCCTCTTTGCTCAAACCCCTGGACATACAGTACTAAACATTTAATCCGTACTCTTCATTCTCTTCACATTATAAACACTTGCAAAGCTCTGTTCCTTAATACTAACTCAGATTTTAAACTTCCGAATTGTATGAAATAAGAATGTTTGTGATGTTCTGCATGAACATCACTGCTGAAATATCTCTAAGATTCTCTATGCAGGTCTCTAGAATATAGAGACCAAATGTGTGGAATTTCCTAACCCAATGTCTTCACTTTAGTATCCTACATTGTGCTAATTACTCATCTAGTGCTGTACTATCTACAAATGCACTCCATCAACATAATTTCTCATCACCCTTATTACTACCTTACCTCTCGCTTAACAATTAGCTTAGCTTAGATGTCACGCTATTGTGATTTCTGTGTATAATGAAGTAAGGGCGAAGAGGTAGAACGGCCTATTGACATAGCTCGAGTGCATGGGGGGAGTTGTGTAAAATCCTGGTTTGTCTCTCGGAGAGGCTGCAGGATCCAAGTAAATTCAGAAGAATTTCTGGTTGCAATTCTTATACTATGTCGTAGCTCAGTCGATTAAGGCAGCGTCTGGGATGCTCTTGGACGCAAGTTTGAATCCTCGTCACGGCCCCTTGTAGATTTGTTCTCTTAAGATTAACTGTTTCCTTTGTACAATAATTTAAAATTCACTGCAAATTTTGCGTTAGCTTTAAGATTTGCCTAAAATGCTATGCATGTTAGTGGCTTTACAAGAACGTACAGATAATGGCGATTCATTTGTACAAATAACCCATTGTAGTGAATAATATTGAAGTGTCAGGGGGGGCCTAACGGCTGAGTGGACAGCGCTCCGGATTTGTATTCCTAAGGTTCCGGGTTTGATCCCCAGTGGAGGTGGAAACAAATGGGCAGAGTTTCTTTCACCCTGATGCCCCTGTTACCTAGCAGTAAATAAGTACCTGAGAGTTAGACAGCTGCTACTGGCTGCTTCCTGGGGGGTGTAACAAAAAGGAGGCCTGGTCGAGGATTGGGCCACGGGGACGCTAAGCCCCGAAATCGTCTCAAGATAACCTCAAAATACTGTAGTGTAGTGGTCAACACAGTCAGCTCGCAATTGAAACGTTCGGGACTGATTTCTGCCGCAGGACAAGGACGTTTGGCACGTTTGCTTTTGCCCGATGCCTGTGTTCACCTAGCGGTAAATAAGTACCTAGGAGTTGGGCAACTATTGTTGGTTGCATCTTGGGAAAGACTAGTAGTTGGCCTAGAGGGGACCTTGATAAACCTAACTGGCTTTGTCCCAATGGGAAATCATACTTAAGTACGATACAAGTAAAAAACTTTTCAAAATCTTTTCTGTGGAGAGCCTTGTAGGCTCCAGGGAGCCTCTGGGCTCACCCAGAAAATGGTGTTTCATTACATTCAGTGCTGTATTTTTTTTTTTTTTTTCAAATAATGTTACTTTTGTGAGGGTTTGTGTACAGTAATTATTGAACTTCATTGTTGTTTGTATTTGTAATATGTTCTCTCCTCTTCCCTCCTGATTTTCCATAACTAATCGCTTCTTGCAAAGAGAATTATAAAACCTGTGTTTATTGAATTCATTTTATTTGCCTTCTCACACATGCTTTAATGTTACTTATTTGATCAATAACACCTTACTGATACAGTAATAATAATACATTAATATTACATTTTTATACATACCAACTGCAATATAATGTAATTTGACCATTGACAGGTACAAACCATCAGCACAAGGGACTCCAGGGGCCCCTGGTGAAGATCCAACTACTGACTACATGAATGTACTAGGCATGATCTTCAGCATGTGTGGTCTAATGATGAGAGTAAGTTTTGGGTTTCTGGCATTATAGGGTCTGTTCTGAAGCCCACGGTATCATCCCTATTGTCTACCACTATCATCCCTATTCATCCTGGCACTAGCTTGCTCAGTTTTTTTTTGTTTTCAACTCATATTTTATGAACTACTGTAGCCCACGGTATCATCCCTATTGTCTACCACTATCATCCCTATTCATCCTGGCACTAGCTTGCTCAGTTTTTTTTTGTTTTCAACTCATATTTTATGAACTACTGTATATTGTATGTAAGTGATGTTGGCATTCATGGGAACATTTTCTGTGGGAGCCATGCTTTTTGTATTGTTTATATTCATGCTTCACTTGTCAGTTTAAGGCACCCATCTTGTGTGCCCTTAGCTGTTCATTCATTCTGATTTAGTTTCTCAACTCTCTGCCTTGTAGCTAGTTTGTATTACCCATTCCCACCAGTAATATTTTTCAAGATTCTGGGTGTTGTCCTAGTCAGGGCTTCTCCTTTTGAGTTGCCATTACATCAGTACTGCTTGGGACTCGGTCCACGTGGCCAGGTCTGTTGCTGGGTATTTTAGTGTGTGTTATGTCTGATTCTGACTCGTGTGCCATGTTGGTGCCTTGCATCATCTTCTGTGTGTACAGTTGGAGTCACACTAATAATACTTCAATACCTGCCACATAGGTCTGATCTTTCTAGTTTTTTAATTGATAGGAGGTTGGAGAACCGTCAACTCAACCCTTGTGACTAACATGGATGTCCATTATTCGGTAATTATTGTGCCGAAGATTGTAATTAAGTCAAAATACATTTTCACTTTACTGAAAAATTTATGGCATGAGCGTGAAGTGAGCCAAAAGTGTGACAAAGCAACAGCAGTCGGCTGAATGCTGGGCATGGGGGAAGAGGGAGGGAGGGTGTGAGACTATCCCTTCCTCATTTCCTCTCTCAAGCTTGGTGAAAAAGTTCTCTCCTTTTGAATGTTTGGTTTCAATAAAGTTGTGTGTGTGTACATCTATAATTTTAATACCAAATTATCCATAAAAATCCATAAATCCATAAAAAATCCATAAAAAAGACGCATCATAAAAGAATTTTTTGCGAATAATTTATTAATAATAATAATTCATTGAGTTGGAGGACTGGCAGCCAGGTTATACATACAGTACATGTTAGGTTTGTATCCAGGTTCCCCCCCCCTTTCCCCCCTATCCCTAGGGTCTAATTACTGACCCTCCCCAGTATGCAACCCCATAATAAGCTGACTGACTTTTGGGTACCTATTTCCTGCTAGGTGAAGGACCTGCCCGAAACGCTGCGCGTACTAGTGGCTTTACAAGAATGTAAATACTGTACTATCCAATGTATTCTCACAAACCCAATGTACCTTCTTGTATATATATAAATAAATAAATAAATAAATAAGGTACCCCTTCCCGGGTCCGTCTAATTACCCAAAGCTTCCTAGTATTACGTAAGTAATGAAGAAATATAATACTTTTACTCACAATAACGTTAGTGCTGAAAGTAGAACATGAAAAAAAACAATGTTTACTCTGAAATAATGTACGTTTATAACGAAATTAGTCGAAACTAAGTAGCCCGAGAGGCCATAGGAAGTGGACGATCTAAGTGACAAGGTTGTGGAGCGACTTATCCAAGATATATTGTTGCCCACAGCTTATATTGTTAGGTTTAGTTAGGTTAGGTTTGGGTAGGTTGGTTAGGTACAGAAGGCTGATATGACAGCAAACACTCCAAGCAACAATGTGTCTTGGATAAGTCGCTCCAAAACATAGTCGCTTGAAACGTCGACTCGTCTAATTTCGTTATGAAATGATGTTTTTTCAGAGTAGAAATATATTTTTTCCATGTTCTACATTCAGCATCAACATTATAATGAATAAATATATCATATTTATTCATTACTAACGTAATGTTAGAAAGTTTTGGGTAGCTTAGTTAGGAAGCTTTGGGTAATTAGACGGACTTAAAGCTACTCAAAGCTTTGAGATAATTTGTGAAACAAGACGGACTCGTCTAATTACCCAAAGATACTCAAAGCTTCCTAGCAAACTACCCAAAGCGTCCTAACATTACACACAGAAATATCAGGCAGCGTCTGGGATGCTCACAGACGTAGGTTCGAACCTTCGTCACGGCCCTTGTGGATTTGTTCCTAACAATTTTTTTTTATATATATACAAGAGTTGTTACATTCTTGTACAGCCACTAGTACGCGTAGCGTTTCGGGCAGGTCCCTGGATTACGATCCCCGCCACGAAGAATCATTGTTACAACCAAGTACACATTTTACTGTTGAGTTAAACAGAGGCTACAGTTAAGGATTTGCGCCCAGTAAATCCTCCCCGGGCAGGATACGAACCCATGACAGAGCGCTCGTGGAACGCCAGGCGAGTGTCTTACCACTACACCATGGAGACTGGTGCTATCTAGTAGCAATAGGGTTACAACCACCACAAAAAAAGGTCACAAACAACCTTTATTAAATAAGTTTTATTAATTACATACTCAAGTACTGTACAGCAATGAAATATTTTTAAACAAATAAATTTTTATTAGTATTAGTACTAAAGACAGAACAAAAACATAAAAACTACAGAATATAGGTACAGTACTGTAGTTGTTTGGCAAAGTCAGGCCAGTCTATCAAAAGAATTTATTGGCATAGACAGCATGTTCCATTTCACCAGGAGTTTGTCCATTAGTTCATTCTTTTCGCCCCCCCCTGAGGGTTCCAGTCCAACATGATTCGTTCAAGCAAAGTCACACTGTAGTCCGGTAACCTGTATCTTCTTTTTTTTATAAGTACTCCATTTGCAAGAAATTTAGTTTTACAAGCCAGTAAATGTAAAATACGGTACAGCATATTCATCACACTGCCAGTCATTAGTTTGTGTACACAAAAATGTAGCCTAGTTAATGTTTGGCATACTGTTCATCATGCTGAACACTGGCTTCTATGTTTGCTACAACACTAACAACTACAACACCACTACTGTAATGACTACTAAATTTATTACTATATTGGCTGCTATACTACTCTACTGACTGCTATATTGACTATTATACTGACTATGACATTAACTAATATGCTGACTACTACATTCATTACTATATTAACTAATACACTGACTACTGCACTGGCTACTATACTGACTACTACAGTGACTACATGCTTTCATGCTCCACAAACATCAAGACAATTTGTGCAACTATATGAACAAGTTTGTACATTATCCTTTATAATACAAATATTTAACATTCATTATTTCACACATTGCTATATTACTCAGATTGTAGCAAGATGTGAATATTATTTAATATTGTATATGATAAGAGTGTATTGTTTTAGTTATAATTAATATTGTGTATGAGTATATTGTTTCAGTTACATACCATATATATGTATGATAAGGACAATGAATCACATGTCCATCAATGTCCATCAAAATAAAGTACTGTATGTGTATTCAACATGCAGTCAACTGAGCTCTCACTGTACACTAAGCATGTCTACTAATTCTGACACATCTAACTGTCTGGATATACTCCATAAATACCCCATCTAGTTACTCACTGTAATTGAAATTCTTCAAACTTTATTCACATAAATTAATGTGATATATTTTGGTCTTATACTCAGTTACTCATTAAAAATATGTTGGTTTGCATCATTAAGAATATTATGACTGGATTTTGATCAAGTCATTTTTGTATTAAAAAAATAGACATTTTCCTTTGATTTTAGCTTAGGAATTCATGGATAAGCTCCATGTGAAGCCTCACAAATATGGTTCCTCATAACCTGGCGGGGAGTGGTTAGAGGAGACTGCTGAGGCAAGCCATAGACATTAGTAAAAGCTGCTCTGTAGCTGTTTTGAGAGGCAAGAGACGATCTTATTGACCCTGAATTGTCTCGATGAGTGTGATGAGCTCGAGGGCTGTTGCTGGAGAGAGGCTTCAGATCCTCCTGAAGAGCTGGCACACCACCGAAGGGGCCTTCTTCCATTTGCGTAAAAATGGTGGAGATGGAAGCTGTAGCTGCCATTCGTTTGTGTCTACAGATAATATACAAACAATATTACAAGCCAAGAACATACAGTATATCTGCCAAAATAAGTAATAATGTATGGTTTATTTAGCAGCGTTTAATTTAGCAGTAAATAGGTACCTGGGAGTTGGACAGCTGCTACAGGCTGCTTCTTTGGGGTGTGTAACAAAAAGGAGGCCTGGTTGAGGACCGGGCCATGGGGACATTAAGCCCCGAAATCATCTCAAGATATCTTCAAGATGGTTTAATTATGTACAGTATTTATTAATATGCAAGAAGGTACATTGGGTTGTGGGAGTACATAATTCATTTATTTATGTATTTATTTATATACAAGAAGGTACATTGGGTTTTGAGAGTACAGTACTATACATAGCATTGATGTTTTTACATTCTTGTAAAGCCACTAACACGCATAATAATTCGGGCGGATCCTTAATTTAACAGATAATTTTAAGTAGATAATTTATAGCAAAATTGATAAATGTTAATAGGTACATTGTAAGAAAATTTGATGAAGATTAGTAGGTACATTGTAGCATAATTTTAGGATTATTTCTAGGTATAATGTAGTAAAATATGCATTTAATATAACAACCATGAATAAGATGATAGCAGTGATTGCAATGATGAAGTTAAATATGGCTTAGGCACATATATTGGGAGTGGGTAACACAAAATACAGTACAAGTTTAAGGCACTAGGTAGGAAACTATGAGGATGAAATTAGGTACATTTTGGTTTTATTTTTGAATAAGGTATAGGTTGGACAACTTTTCAGTTCATTTGGGAGTGAGTTCCATAGACTAGATCCCTTTATTTGCAGAGTGTTTACACAGATTAAATTTGACTCTAGGGATATCAAAAGAAATATTTATTTCTGGTGTGGTGATTATGGGTTCCATTACATCTGTCAAAGAAGAGTTTCAGATCAGGATTTGCATCTCGGAACAAGGTTTTGTATATGTAAATGGCATAAGAGAATGTGTGGAGTGAGTTTGTTTAACATGTTTAAGGATTTAAACTGGGGCTGCGTATTGTCTGAAAACAAAGTTTTTTATTGTTCTGATAGCAGATTTTTACCTATTTTAGTAATCATCATTATTAAGTGGTGCTGTGACCCTTAGCTGCACAGTGGTGCTGTGAGCTCGTGCTGCATGCGCCAGCCTTTAGGAGACTTGAACCACGGACCTCACGCATGTGAGGTATCAACTGATCTATGAGTAGTCTTAATAAGAAAGATTACAGAGGCAGCAGGGATCTGGGATCAGCTTCCAGATGGCAGCAGTAGTTGCCTCTGTTATCTTTCCTTATTAAGACTACTCATAGTTCAGTCGATAGAGCTTCAGCCTCACACATGTGGGGACCGTGGTTCGAGTCTTGTACAGCCCGGGTGAATGATATATAATCTATTCTATCAATTTGTAATGTAGTTATGTTTAACTCATATTCTGTTACTTGTATTGTTTAGCTTAAGGACCTACCTGAAACACTATGCGTGTTAGTGGCTTTGCAAGAATGTTACACTCAAACCTCAATGTATGTACTTTCTCAACTCGATGTACAGTACCTATATAAAAAATAAAAAATAGATAAATAATTAAATAAATAGGACTGCCTTTTGCCACTACCCACCACTGAGTGGGACTGTATTTTGTCACTACCTACAATTTGTGGTAACATTTTGTTTATATTAGTGCATTATTTCTACTAAATATATTTTTATTACATTTTTCATTACTTTATTACCACATGTAATGTTACAAATACTGTACCTGAAGTCTTTGGCCTGTTGAGCAATGATCCTCATTTTGGGAATGAATACGAGTCCCAGAATTACTGAGGCCAGAACCAACAATGCCACACTGGTTGTAGGAGCTTCCAAGGCAGACGGTGCAAGATAACTCATAACTGACCACACAGCCACCACAGGGACAGACACGCACGAAGTTAGCAGCAGCCACTGTCCCTAAAGAAAGTTAATAACGGACATGTACTCTTGTAAAATGCACATTCAGTAGTTTTTAAAACCCTCGAATTACAGTAATATTTCAGAAGTGTAGGGGGAAGTGGGAAGGGTTTGGATAGCTGTAAAAATAACTACTCAAGCTATATTCTATTCAATAGAAAAGCTAGAAGAACTTAATTTCTTCATGATAGTAAGTCTTCTGCATGCCCATTAAGCAAACTATAGTATATTCCGAGAGCCTGAATCTACTATACTGATACAATGCTTTACTACTTGGTGCCATCATTCGCAGAGTTCTTATTGGCCTACCAGGGACCACAAACCAAAACCTGGCCCCCCTTAGAGGCACATGGATTGGTGATTGCTGAACACAACTGCACATTGAACCGAACCTCTCGCTCACACCAAGGCTTCTGGGTCTTTCCAGCTGGCCCCTTCTTTTGAAGCCTTTTCCGTGGACTCGGCTCTTCTATCCCGGGCAGTGGCCATGGATGATGGCTCTCCCCAGGGGGGCCCTCTTCTGCAGTTCCCGGAGTTTGGGGGAGTCTAAGTGGGGCCCTTAGATCCTGTTTGATTCTTTGTGGGCCTTAATACCTTCTGCAAAGGGTCTTTTGTTGCAGGGAGAGGGGTTTTCTTATCCCCCCTCCCTGTATAAGTGCGGCACCTCCAGGGTTCAGAAACGAACACTGGGCGAATGCGTTGAGTGGCTTCTGATGGTGGGGGGGGGAGGGTTTGTCTGGTGGTGAACGCTTGGTTGGTTTTGCCTGGGGTGCATCATGTGCTGTCAGGTGGGGGCTTTATGCCACTGCCTTCGTGCCACAGGTTTTGTTTCAGTGATCTCTTTGTGGTTCACTCTAGTTTCCCTGGTTCCCAGTTCCAGGGCTTGTATTTCTCAGGTTGTCGGCAATATCTTCTGCTCTAGCCAACCTGTGGTCTATCCTCATACCCTTGCTCTGTTTCCATAGGCTTCTCTTTTGGAATTCTTTGCTCATTTGTCTTGGGGCCATTCTTTGGGTGCAGGAGTTTTGGTGGTCACAAAGGGTACCAGCAACTGGGTTTCTTGTGGATGTTCACGGTCTTCTGTGGCTTCGTGTGACCTTGGGTTGGAATTGTGGCCATTGAGCTCTTTTTGTCTTGATACCTGTGGTGCTTCCTCCTCCTCGGTGTGTCTCCTTTCTTCCTCCACTGTGGGTAGATACAGTACCTTCAGGAAGCTACAAGGTGGCCCCCCCCCCCGCCCCCCCCAAAAAAAAACCAGCATTGAATGTAATGAAATACCAATTTCTGGCCGAGCCCCGGTGGCTCCCTGACATCCTCCCACCCCCAGGGCATCAGCATGTTTTCCATCATCATAAGAACTGGAGGCAGCGGGCTGGACCTGCCTGTCTCCCCTCGAACAAGGGGGGGAGGGGGAGATGGTGCATTCTAGCACATGCTAGTCTCAAGAATTTTTTATCATTTCTTTACATTGTTGGGGGGGAGTTCTTTAGGGAGTTTTGAGGCTGTATTTACCGTTTGTGTCTGCAGAATCGAGCTATTAGCTCTTGGATCCCGCTTTTCTAACCAATCCATTTTTTCTTTATTATATCTACTACATACATATACTGCATCTCTCTACACATACACACACATTCCCAGGAATCAGTCCATAGCAGCTGTCTAACTCCCAGGTACCTATTTACAGCTAGGTGAACAGGGGAACCAGGGTGAAAGAAACTCTGCCCATTTGTTTCTGCCTCTGCTGGAAATCAAACCTGGGCCCTTAGGACTAGGACCCCAGAGTGCTGTCCACTCAGCCGCGAGACCCCCAGCTATGGTCTCATTTCTAGCCAAGCATTAGTCTGTTTTGTTTCACTGACTTTCTGGGTGCTTTGCCAGGTGGTGGCAGACATGAATAACTTTAAATGTAAGGTGTTCATAGTGCCACTGTCTCCTGTTTCTCTGAGGGGGGGGAGTTTCTGGCTCGTGGTTCCCGGTAGGCCAATAAGAACTACAACTGATGGCACCTAGTAGCATGGCACTGAATTAGTGTAATAGCTTCAGGGAGCCACCAGGGCTCACCTAGAAATTGCCATTTCATTACACTCACTGCTGATTCTTTTATTTTTTTCTGTTTCCTTGTGCACCGGGCTGTTAAATATTAATAGCTGTGCATCCCAGAGGTTAATCCGGGTTCCAAAATCTTTAATCCATTATCCGACTGGATTGACTCATTGCAGGAGCTTAAGAGCTCCATGGGGGCTGCTCTCTGTTGGTGGCCATTCGCACTAGGTGGTTCGAGCTAGTTTTGAGTGAGTAATCGTTTTTAATTAATAGTTTGCCAAGTTATGTGACTGTTTCAGTGCTTTTTCCTCTGTGAACCTTGCAGTTGTTTGCATTGCATTGCTTACTTTGTGGATATTTTCTTGGTGAGGGTGATCGTAACACTCCCATGCTCCCTGTGCCTCTGGGAGGGGATCAGGTTTTTGCTCATGTTCCTGGTTAGGCCATACAGGACTCGTATGGTTGATGCGACTCAGTAGTGGGAAGCCACCTCAGCAAGATAGATTCAGGGAGCAACCAAGAGGCTCCTTCTGAAAAAAGTTTTAACAGAATACTTGAACACTGTCAAGGAATCATTCCATAGGTGACTGAACCTAAGTTCAATTTCTGGACGGAGCAAGACATTTGGGCACATTTCCTTACACATAATGCCCGTGTTCATCGAGCATTATGGTAAAAAGATGCCTTGGAGATAGTCAATTGACAGAAGTATAATTTACCTCTTCAAAACAGGAAATCATATACAGCTACTTGTAGGTGAATATGGACTACAAAATTATGATAAAATCTAAGTGATATTTTAGTGTCACTAAACCTAATGAGTCATCCACATTAATTAAGAACTAGTTCAACATTCCTTACCTCATTATGGTTTCTTTGTATTTTGCGATTCACAGTGGCTAGGATGAGGGTAAGAAACAGCAGGAGGAGGAGATAGACGCGAGTGGCAAGTGTGGCTATACGCTTCTGCCCACACTGCCTGTTGCCATCCAGTCCAATCTTGATCAGGGGTTCTTCTTGTGTGAGTAAGCCCCCTGCATGGCCTAGCATACACAGTGCAGCCTGTACACTCACCATAAACAACAGGGAAACATGAAGGTTTACTTGAGACACCTGAAATATGTCAAGACAAATATTAGCCCTGATAACCCACCAATCACAGATGATTGATATAATTTATAGTGCTCTATAAGATCTTATCAGCCTCGATCAATGCACAAAATTTCAAGCTATTATTCCAAGCAATTTGAGAGTTTAATAACTACACCTACTACACACATGTACAGTCACAGAAGAGTATAAGGAGAGGTAGTGACAGTAGGGAATACAAGAGAGTATATAGTAGTGGTGGTGTTGGTATAAGGAAACATACTCGAGCATCTTGCTCTGCCCGGAAATCTAGCCCAGAAATAATCGTTTGTAGGCTGACTTCACTCCACCACTATATTTGACAGTATTGAATTGTAATTATTTAACCTAAACTATGTTTTGTATTCTAGCCACATGGAAATATGCAGAGAATAAGTCAGAATAACACAGTTGAAAATGAATGCTCAGCCACATATGAAAAAAAAGGAAAGTGGCAACATTTTGGTTTGTCTTTATCAAGTTGTGCCAAGGAAGACCAGAAGCAAGAAAGTAAATTAAGAGTTGTGGAATATATATATATCCTTGACACCTATGGAGTTGAGAAACTATTTACTAACATCTTGGTACTTACTTCTCCCCCAACCCCAATAGACACCAGTGCTCGCAAATGCATTGATTTGGCAAGAAGGATGCCATAGCAGAGTGCAAGGCACATAGGTGGCACCCATTCCCGCACAGCACAAGTGATGGACGTTGGAGGCAAGACATAGATCACACATGAGGCGTACAGCCCCATCACCCCCAGCAGCAGCACTGCACCAAGAACCTGGTCATGTAAATCATGTTTTAGCTTTCTTACGAGATATGCTATTACTATATTTATATAGGACATGTAGGAAGATAATAAATGGATGGATGGGGAGGGACGGAGAAGGTTTGTTATATTTCCTCTTCCCTTTATTCCTTAGTGATGGTGTACATATATATTTTATTGCTGTCTGTGTTTCTCCATTTAACATGTTCCATCTTTTCTTGGACTGTCTTCCCCCATCCCTTGTGTACCTCCATGTTGATCCCATCCCTTGTGTACCCCATGCTGATCCCATTCTTTGATTCCCCTCAACCCATTCCCATTCACAGAACCAGTGACGATACCTCTCACCCAGGGTCAAACAATGGCAAAGAACAGTTAGGGCCTTGGGGTCCCAGTTGACCCCAAGGGCGGGCAATCATTGAGTAGCAAAAGACCCTTATGGAGGTAGTTCCTGAACAACTTGTGGAAGAGAACCCCAAGATACAAGGGCAGTACTTACAGGGCACCTAGGGAAGAAGACCCTAGGCACATAAATCCCCAGTACTTCTTGAATTATTCCTGGCTCACACACCACAATACAGCAGAACAACCCCTCAAGGCACAGCACTGCTCAGAGTCAGGAGTCAGAGTCGAACGACTGCCACTTAACAACACAGCCTCAGAACTGAGGTCGGATAGCCGGCACAAGGGTCTGGGGCCCCCCACTTCCCCCTCCTGGAGAAGGGGGAGTTGTGCAGACAGGCGGCACAACGGTGGGAGTGATGTCATGCATTTTTACTTGCTTTCAGATTGTATAAATGCTACCAAAAACCGAACTGCTCAGCAGTTCGGTTTTTGGTAGCAATGTTTCACCAGTTGGGGTCTACCTTTCTGGGTGCCTAACCCGGTAGATGGCAGACATAGAATGCTTCCAACCACATGGGGGGTTCTATAGGCCATTGCTCCTCATGCCTCTCTGAGGGGGGTTCTGGTTCGGGGTCCCCGGTAGGCTAGAACTCCAATCGAATTGACTGATGCCGTAGTCTAATACATACATATCAGCCCAGTATAGCTGCGGGGGAGCTTGAGGGGTTCTCCACAGAAATCCATATAAAGCCTCACAAATCACTAATCCCCATTGCTATGTAAAATTAGGTTCACCATGTTATACTTTATTATTATCATAGCATGTATCACTTTGTACACAATTGTTATACTAAATATAAATTATTTTTCAGTGTGATTACTAGACTAATGATTATGATCTCATTTTGTTGTTTCAATTCAAATTTCTAAACTAAAGAATTTATTTAATTTATTGCATGAACTGAGATAATATTTTATATATATATTAGAGCCCAAGAATAAAATAACTTAAAACAGTGACAATCATAAATAAAGATAACGTCAAACTTGAGTTTTAAAAGTACAGTACAGACAAGTGCTGCTTGAGTAGGTGTCAACAAGGGTTACAAGACCTTACCTGTGAACCAGTGAGAGTTCCATCACATATACGCAGAGCCACATAAACAGCTATGTAGAGTGAGACCACCACTCCCAAGCACGCCACAACTAGCACGGAAAAGGCCCAAGTTCTTCCCACATAGTCCTGTTACCCATGTGAGAGAATTGTCAGATACATATATTTTGTGAACATTTCTTATTTTTCAATAAATACACTGCTACTTTATGCTGTGATTCCACATACCACCTTTCCAGTGATGTTACTGTATTATTTATCTGAATTAATTTCTTTATACATAAGAAGGTACAATGAATTGTGAAAGTATATACATAGGTGATTACACAAATTCAACCCAGTAATGGCTTGAATTTGTGATGCTCTCTTTCTAGACTGCCTGTCTACAGAAGCTTCTGGTGCTATGTCAGTGTGCATGAGGGGGGGGGGGGAAGAGAAACCTCTACCTCCTTTGACTGTAACATTCTTAGGCAAATTCCAAAGTTTGTTCTTTCCTAGCATTGACACGGGTTTGATCGTTCTACAGTCTCTTATTGTTTCTATTAATTTCACTGTCACTGTCTACACTTTGCCTTGGCCCCCCTGGTTAACACTTCCTGAAAATCATTCTCCGCTGATCTGCTGTTTTCTGGGTCTATGTCCATGTCAAAATTTTCATGAGAAGTAGCCAATGCCTCTGTTATCTGATCTTCCATGCCATTACATGCCTCAGCCCCCCGCATGGAACAAGGTGCGCAGTATATGGTAGGTATTAATCAGTCCCCTTGTGTGTAGACTGAGCTAAACACCAAAATAAACTTCACCCCTAGATGAGGGAGCAGGTAGATCTTGACCGTACTGAGGTTGGGATACAACTGTTTCATTACTTGGTTTCCTTTACTTGGCTTAAAAGTTTCATTACTTTTCATTACTTGGTAAAAATGCTGGTTCCCCCCATTTCCCCTGTACAGGCAAAGTGACAATTTTGATTACAGCCACATGTTGAAGATTAACCAATCCATATTAAAATTTCAAAATAGCTTATGATTACCTCACTTGCAAAGACAAGACTGAACTTACTTCATGAGTTAGCAAAACAGACCGAACAGCACTGTTGTTCTCATTCTCTCTGACAGATACTAAGCCCAATGTTCTTCCCTCTCGTCCACGCTCCACTTTCTCTGAGGCCAGTGTCTCCCCAGGGGTCCACACTACACCAGTGTCCTCACGGTATACACCTACCTGTTCATAAGAGAGTGAGTTGTGTGTAAGACCTTAATAGTACTATATTTAATACAATTATGTTTAATTAACATATTTATTAGTATTATAACACCCAAAACACTGCATAAATTGGAGCTTCATAATAAAAAATTTAATTTAACTTATAAAATTGTAATTCTGTGTACGGTAATACTCCAAATATATCACATTTATAGTAGAATAAAATACCCATCACAGATTCAACAACTTAAGTTTGCCAAACCACAGTACAGAAACAGAAAATACTTTCCTTTATTTGTACTTAACTAAATGGACATGTAAAGACTAATTCATAATAAACATCTTTTAGAAAACTGGCATGTTACCAACCTGACGTAGACCTTTTGAAGTAGTGTGCTTGATGGTGAAAGAATTAACAAGACGACCATCAGCAGTGTAACGAATCCTGTCAGCACCCCCACCCACTGTAAATGACAGCTTCAGTAGTGCCTTTAATATATCTGCAACAGAAATCACATTAATGTTAGTATTCATATAGGAAGTAGAGAAGTAAGAGTTATTGGTGTAATGAGTGAATGAGGTTTGATATTATTATAGGTGTACACCAAGTTTGGGTGATGTACCCTTGGTTGTTCAATATACAGTACTGTATATATGGATGGGACCATGAGGCACGTAAATATAAAAATATTAGAAAAAGATGTGAATATTGTCCAACAGAAGCAATTGATGTACAGTAGAGTATGTGAAATTTTATGAATGTGGATGATGCCAAACATTTAAGAGATTGATAGATCTATGTAGCTTGTAAGTTTTATTGATATGTGAGAGAGAACACTGCTATAAGTATATTTGAACAAAAGTAAAGTTATAGTAATGGAGAGAGATGAAAATTCTGTGTGAAATTTGTGTAAACAGAATTGCTAGTGTGACCAGTTTTAATATCTTGAATGTGCAACAAAAGAGAAATTTGTAAATGCAAGCTTATAATGAATGAGTCGGAGTAGAAAAATTACTACAGTAGTGCAATAAAAGCCTTGGTTAAAATGAAAAGAAGAAATGCTGCCAGAGGGCTGTATGAAATAGCAGTAGAGATAGTGCCCCCCCCCCCCCTGGTAAATTCAGGTAAATTTATGTATGGATATGAGAACTTAGAGCAGGTTAGAGCAGTACCAGGTTAGCAGCACCAGGTGCTTCTCTAACCTTGTGCTTTTTTTTTTTTTTTAACAAATTTTGCCTTCAGCCTTAGGTTTCCAAAGGAATTTGTTGACTTATTGTGGGGGTTACTGGCATCAGGAGTAATTTTTTTTTTTTTCAGGGATATTCCTGCGTGGGCCCTAAGCCTCTGGCTGGCCCACTAAGTGTTGCTTGTTTCTGTTTTACTTGGGCGGAGTATGAGTATTTATGACTCGTATGGTCACTTCAGTAAGATTTTGCCATATGTGTTTAACAACTTCTGCTCTGTTGAATCTAAATTGAAATCTTAATGGGTTTGTAACTGTGCACTGTGTTAGATAATGTTCCAGTGGTCTGTTGGGCATTTCTCCACAGTGCTGACATTTCCTCTCATCTTCCGGAACCTGTAAGCCTATTTCCAATGCACATGGGTATCCAAACCTGATGCGATGTAGGTGAGGGAGTGTCTCTTAATATTGAGTTACTGTTCACAGGTCTCATCATTCTCAATAGGATGAGACTATTGGAATGAGGATGGACAGAGTTTATCGGGATCCAGTTTGTAATCTCCTTGACATCCCAGAAGGTGCACTTATGAAGCATGTACCAAAGAGGCACCCTTTTTGAGTCCGGATTTAAAGCCTTAAGGGCTTTGCAAGAATGTAACTCTCAAGGAACCCAAACTTACTTTCTTTTTTTTAACTTTGTTTATTTATTTTGTTTATATAAATACAAGAAACAAAAATAAACAAAAATAAATAAAAATATACATGTATAAGTAAACAAAATAAATAAAATAAATAAATCATAATTTGATTTGAAAATTAAAATATATTTTGAGGTCAGTTTCTTTAGAGTACTGTACATTCAGAAATCTGTAAATTACCTAAGTGCATTTACTGGATGAGAGCTATGCTCACGGTGTCCCGTCTTCCCAGCTCTCTCTGTCATATAATGCTGTGTTGATCACACGAAACAGTTGTATGGGCACATGTCTCCGAAAACATGATGTATCATAAAATTGAATAAACTTTGCAAGAATAACACACCTTGGTGAAGATCATGGCGCAGAACATCTAGACAGTGGACCCCCGTTGAACACCTCTCTATCTGTACTAGACGGAATGCAGCAGCCAGGGACGACACAGCCTTGACAGTGGCTGTGGTCGGGGAGCTGCTGACAGACTTTGTTAACTCCTCTACGCTCAGGCGTGAGCATGGCGCCGATGAGGCTGATGATGATGATGATGGCAGAATAACAGCCTGAAATATCACATATTTTCAATACTCATTTTAAACAACAGCATTTAAAAACCACCAGTAAGTCAAGCTCTATTTTCGTCATGTAACAGATTTTCCTACACAACTTGTGAAATTAAATACGGCATAGAGATGTAATTATTATACAGTATATTTTTTTCAAAGATTCTCTATTGACCACAAGACTTACTAACCCAGAATATTGATTACAAACAAACAAATTCTAAATGGTTTAAAATACACAGATTTGCTTACACTTTAATTATATACAGTAATCTCCTGGTCTTATGTGAAAATTAATTAATGCAGACTAAACCAATATATACTGTACATATTCCCTTCACACCACCTATACAATACAATATTCCCTCACAACACATCAACATTCTTTCTATTATTCTACTCCTATGTATTTTTCTTATGAAGCTATCTTAAATACATTTTAACTATAATAATATTTACTATGATTCAAAACATTCAAAATTTGTATCCAAATATTCCTTCCATAATTTCTCAATGAAGATTTCTGCAAAAGCAAGTTTACACCAAAAGTTTAAATGCACTAAATTCTCATAGAGGGCAAAAATACATGGATATTAATGAGATACCTCAGGATCACAATGGGATATAATCTCCATATACTGCTTGGCTAGTGGAGCAACCACTGATGTATTACTGTGGATACCAGCGGCAAAATACTGTCTGAACCCTGGGATGACAGGCGAGTGAGCCTCCACCAACAGTGCTCCATCCAACTTTTTCCTTAGCTGAGAGAATAAATACTATATTAATAATAATATGCATTGTTACAGACAATTGTACTTGCAATATAAAATATAACCAAGATTTTCCACAATAAATTTAGTAGTACAGCAAAGTACTGTTTTTTTATTTGAAGATTCTTCCTCAGTGAGAGACATGCATTTTGTTACCTCATCCTCGGATAACTCTACAGCCAGCGGTTCTCCATCTAATGGAGAAAGCACCCAATGAAGCTTGGACTTTATCAACATTTGATTATCAACCTCAGCACTGAAGATGTTTAGTTCTGCAGCACTCAACAGCAATATTACAATTCCTCCAAAGCTCTGAAAATAAATAGCAGTTATCAAAGGCTTTTCTGGGAAGTCCTATATTGCTTCTTGAAGCTATCTCGTCAAAATGTCACATCAGCTGTGAATTCGGTTTGGCCTACTGGGGACCAGAACCTGGTCCCCCCTCACAGAGGCAGAGAGAGCAAGTGAAAAACTGCTACCCCACCAGAAAAGCATCCAAAATGTCAATAAAACAATATCAACCCATCCTCAGACCAAGTCCATTTCATCCAGCGGTCGACCCAAAAGACAAATTCATAAATTTTAACATGCTGTTCATTCAAAACAGAAATTTTCTCAATTATAAATTAATATTATTATATACAGTATTAGCATATTGTGCATATTTAGGCACTGATTAGGTTAGGTTAGGTGTTTAAGTTCTGTTGGCGATTATTTGTATTTGTAGTACTGTACGTGGGTGAAGCATTTACTGCAATGTGGTTCAAACAAAAGTCGTCAGCAAAGTACTTGTTCCGGAAGTGTTCGAACGTCATCAGTTGTGAGTTGTGTAAACTGTTTTTCATTCATAAACAGGGTGTTTGGTGGGTGCATGGAATGGACTTTAGCTTTTGTTTATGAGGACGGGCTGACCAATATAGACCACTGCCAGGTTCAAAGCGACCAAAGCCTCAATCAGAACCATCAAACAAACTTCAACAATGTAAACAAATGATTGAATCTGTTGAACCCCTCCACCAGTTTGGGGGGAAGTGCAGAGCTCCCAGTCCCCTCCAGCCTTCCACAGCAGTTCTCTCACTGAAGTGGATGTTTGTGAAGGTCCACTGAAGGGTTTTTGGGTCATCAGCAAGCCATGTGGGGTCCCAATGCTTCTAATTTAAGTACCAGCCATCCTTGGACTTTCTCCTGCAGGAGCTATTTACTTGGTGTTGTTCCATGTTTTACTGAAGTTTCACATGCATATTTTCTGTCAAGTTTGTATTGTGTGGACCTAGCTCATAGGGTGCTTGGAGATGCATGTGCTCAGGGGTACCTTCCCTATGTGCTCCCTACCACTGTTCATGCACTGACACTCATCTTCTCTGGTGTGTTCAGGAGTTAGCTCTTCAAAAGCCAGCCCACCGGGGTGAGGACCTCACCTTGGGGGTGTCAGGGGGTCTTTCTGCCATTCTATTTAGACCCCTGGGTGGGTGCAAACATTTTGGCTGATTAGGGCACACTGGTGGTTTGTGCACTTTTTTACATGGCATGCCGAGGTTGGCCTTCACAGCCACATTGACTAGGCTGTGTTGGTCTACTTTATAATATTTACCCGAGGGCCACTAACGCTGGTGGCCTTGACAAGGACAGAAAGCTGGCAGCTTGTTAAAGGTCCATTTACCCTGATGATTTTTTCCAACTGGATTTTAAAATTAAACAGTGTTGGCATTTACGGCTTCGGCAGATAGGCAGTTCCATGGGTTTATAATCCTATAGGGGAAAAAGCATCTCCTGTTTTCAGTCCAGCACTGTGGCTTGTTGAGCTTAAAAACATTGCTCCTTGTTTGTATTACATCTGGCCTTTTGAAGAAACTGTATGGATCAACATCCTCAATTTGGATGAATATCCAAATTGTGGAGGATGTTGATCCAGTACACAGCCCTTGTGGAGCTGTATATTGAATGGTTTTGTGAGGATGTTGATACGCTTGGATCTGTGTCAGGTGCATGTGCCTTGTTTCCTTCCATGGTGGCATCAGAGGCTTTGCTCAAGCTCTATGAGCCCATGCTCCAGGAGGTAGTCGGTGCATTCTATTTTACCTGTTTTATGTGTCGACAGGCTGTGTTGGCCCAGTCATTAGATTTGGCTTGGACCTTGGCCTGTTTGTCCACCTCACCTCTTCTTCCTTGACTCTCCTTTTGCCAGAAGATTTTGTTGTCCAGTTTTTGTCTTCAGCGGTCGCTTCATGACAACCTATGTCACATCCTATGTTCTCGGGATTCTCATCCTTGCTCTCAGATGTGGCCTGGTAGGGCCGGGTCTTTGTCTTCTGCTGGTCAGGGTAGGTCTCCATTCCAGACATATTCAGTGTCATATGCGCCTCCCATTGTCAGCTCATTTTCTGTTCATCGACTCTACTCTCGCAATTCACAGAGGTACAGTATATCACTGTTCATGGTTCGCTTATACCGATGGTTCTGATCCAAGATTGAACTTGGCTGGGTTTTGTGTGGTATTTTCGTTTGGTGTTGCTTTCTCTTTTCCTGGCGGCTTTGCTGTGGCTGCAAAGCTGCCACTGTTTAAGTGTTGAAATGGCTCCAGGTGACTCGGTGTTTGCTTGAGCAGTTGTGCAGATGCCTGAACTATGCCCATGTGGCTTTTCTGCTAGGCAGGGTGTGACTTTAGGGACTGTTTTGGTTTCTTTGGTTCACCCATTTCACTGTCACTGCAACTGTTGGGTTCAGACCCTAGTGTTTTGGTGTATGTATTAATGAAGCCCACAATAAGGTGGTGACGTGAAAATTACTTTATTTAATATGATATTCCATAATGAGGTCATCAAATTACCTTATGACAAAAAAATCAAAGTTCATTTGTTGGTGGTGTCATAAGCAGCCTCAAAACCTCATTGGTTTTGAGGCTGCTTATTGAGGCATTAGTCTTATTGGTAGCAATATTTCCATGGATTAATTATGTTTCATTAAATTAATTATGCATTACAATGAACAAATCATAATTGGATCAAATTTCAATTACAGTATAATGTATTGAAGGTAACCACCTGATATTAAAAGAATCAAGCCACTAAGCTTCAGAAACAATTTTTCCAATGGATAAAATGTATCCTACTGCATTACCTTTTACCTTCAAACTGACAAAAATACTGTAAATTTATACAGCATGCACAAAAACATGTGTTCTTACCACTTCATTGTTTATAAAATCTGTTATATCTTTCATCATATTGTCTTCATTCTCAACCTGCAGCACACTGAGGATCTGGAGTCCTGCTCTTGATGCACACTCCTTTAAGACTTGGGAAGCATGGCTGCAGCTTGACACCACATGCACACCCATAACACCTCCGCCGAGACGCACACCAGCAGAAAGCACCGCCTGAAAGTTTGGCATTTAAATAAATGATAGATCTATACTAAACTGATTATTTATTGAACTTTACATATAAGAATCTACACGCAAAACCTTTTAAAGTACAGTTGCCAAGGATCAGTATTATTATTTATTATATTAGGCCCGAAACACTTTGCATAATAATGCTTTAGGCATTGTATGTACTAGCTCTATCTATAAATCCATCAATCTTTGTAAAATCTCTTGTATGTATGTACCTTACCTAAATATACATTTATTTATTATTTACTTATTTATGATCAATGAGCTTACGGTATGTGGTACAAGGTGACAATTGTATGTGCATGTTATACACGGTAACACATGCATGTGGTACATGGTGACAGGGGTGTAATTACCCAAGTGTAGTTACATGATGAGAGAGGAAGACTGGATTATCATGGTGTCCAGTCTTCCCAGTACACTTTGTCATATGATGCTTTGAAACCAATGATGGTTTTGGCCTCTACCACCACTTAACTTGTTCCAACTGTCTACCACTCTGTTTACAAAAGTGAACTTCCTAACTAGTTTTTTGGCAGCTTTGTTTCCTTAGTTTGAAACTATGTCTTCTTGTTCTTGAAGCTGCAGTTTTCAAAAAAAATTCTTTGTCAATTTTGTCGATTCATGTTGCTATTTTGCACATAGTGATTATATCACATATAATCAGAGATTTGTATGTTTTACATGTTCAGAAACTGGTATGTTTAGCAGGTTCAGAAATTTAAACAATGATGCTATATATTGTCTGTGAACATTGATATTGAAGATATTAAAGCAAGTGAAGAGAATGAATTAAGGAATATTCCCATAATGCATTATATAATGAAGAAGAGCACTGACAAACTAAAGATTCAAAATCCCCAGGTGTGGACACAATTCAGTCTAAAGTTGTAAAGGAACTAACAGATGAATTATGTCTACTGCTGAAACTTATTTTCAGGAAATTTCTGGACCAATGACAAGTCCCCAGGATAGAAATATACAAATGTCACTCCTATTAAAAAAAAGGCAGAAAATGCTCAACAGAACACTATCGTCTTTAATGTTTTTCCAGCCCAAAACGCTTTGCGTAATAGTGGCTTTAGGCATTGTATGTACCAGCTCTATCTATAAACCTAGCAATTTTTGTAAAAATCTCTTGTATGTATGTACCTTACCTGAATAAACATTTATTTATTTATTTTATTTTTATCGTCCAATCAGCCTGATCGCATATCTGCAAGCTCATGGAGAGAATCCTAAACGAAGGAATCATTCACCATCTCAGCGTGAACAATCCAGTAAAATCAACACAACATAATTTTGTTAAAATAAATTTTGCATATGAACCTGCTCATATTTTTGGAAATGGTAACCAGCTATACAGACAAAGGATTTCCAGTCGATGTAGCATACATGAAGCTTTTGATAAGGTACCACTTGTAAGACTAGCAAGGAGATTTCAAGCACATGGAATAAATGTTATAATACAAGAATGGATAAAGCAATGGTTAAAACAAAGAAAACAAAGGGCCATCCTAAATTAAAACGAATCTAACTGGAGAAATTTGGTTAGTGGTGTACTACAAGGTTCCATATTGCGGTCAACTTATTTTGTAATATATAGCAATGACATATATGATAATATTGCAAACCATATCAAATTTGCAGACGATGCTAAGATTTATGGTAAAGTAGAAAGTGAAAATGATACTGAAATCATACAAAGAGATCTACACAAACTCTACAAATGATTGGAAGATTGGTAAATGCAAGACCTTTGCATATGGTGCATAACAATGTGCATCAAGACTACTAAATCAACAATATTGCCCTCCAGCAGATTGATGAACAAAAGGACCTTGAGTCAGAATCAACCACTTGCTGAAAGTTGCACACCAAGTGGGAGCTGCAGTAAAAAAAAAAAATAGTAATGAAGCGCCAATTTCTGGGCAAGCCCCGGTGTGAGAGTATGGTCTCTCAAAATATCCCACAGCTGACTTGAATGACTCATTGCAGTACACAGTGCACCGATCTCGTGCACAAGCCCTACCTCTGTTAACCCTGGATCGAAAACTGTCATGTTGGGTGATCTTGTGTTTTGTTATTGTGTCTGTCTGTGGGTTGATCTGAGGGATCAACCACAGTTCTCACCTTCTCATACCTGACACAGGTATAGGTGAAGACCTAGACATCCGACGGTGTATGCGTGTTTATCTGTGTGGTATCACGACATTACACTCATTTGTGAATGTGAGTTTCACATACACCACACATTTAGTTATTGTGTGACATTATTATTGTGCATGATCCCATTGACAGTGCCACTGTGATTTATTGTGCATCATCATTACCCGAGTATCCGGTTGGAACTTCTGCGACCCTCAGGGCGCCGGTCGGCCGAGCGGACAGCACGCTGGATTTGTGATCCTGTGGTCCTGGGTTCGATCCCAGGCGCCGGCGAGAAACAATGGGCAGAGTTTCTTTCACCCTATGCCCCTGTTACCTAGCAGTAAAATAGGTACCTGGGTGTTAGTCAGTTGTCACGGGCTGCTTCCTGGGGGTGGAGGCCTGGTCGAGGACTGGGCTGCGGGGACACTAAAAAGCCCGAAATCATCTCAAGATAACCTCAAGATAACCCTTTGCACACCGGCAATTAGGTTTGCCGTGTTAATGATTGGCTGTCAATTGTGTTAAGTTAGCTGTTTCTCCACGAGTGGATCCGAATCGATTAGTCAGACGTCATGAGTCGCTAATGCAACCATAGTCTTTCTGATGCCAATCTAAAGTAAATCAAGCACCCTTTGTGTTAGTGGTTAAGTTTGTAAATAAACTACAATTAAGCTTTATGCAGTGTTTCTGTTGAACCACTTCTGAATACTGCCAACTATTTACTCAAGTCTTCAGCTCCAGGTGTCTTCAACACCGAGTTGCCTATTATTCACTAAACTATAAATGTGATGAGGACCCTAAGAGTTCCTTAAAGTGTTTCAAGCATTGAGGAGATTCCAACGACTAACGTGGATCAGGACCAGGTGAGGCTACTCTGGGAAGAGACCCTCAAGAACTCTAACTCAACCTTGCTCCCAGGCCCTGTACAGTTGCTCTTGTATTTTCTCTGCTGGATTCCAACAGCTTTGTGAAGCGTCTGCCACGTGTACATTGGTGAAGTACGCATTGCAGTCAGGAAAGCAAAATAGAAAACCCCAGTGGCTCCCTGAAACTATCTTGCTGACATGGCCCCCTAACTATGGATCACATCTGCTGTGGAGTTGAGTTCAGCCTAAAGGAGACCAGAGCCAGAGCCAGAATCAGAAACCTAGACCCCCATCACATGGTTGCAAGAAGCAGGTGATACTCCTCCACCTCATTAGAGAAGGCACCCAGAAGTTTAGCGAACCAATACAGACCACTGCTGGGTTCAAAGAGACTGAAGCCTCACAATCTGCCGAGCACATTTCCCCAACAATGTAAACAAATGATAAAAAAATTCTTGCAACAAGTGTGTGCTCAATCGAAAGGAATATGATGATGGTGGGAAGGAATGGTGCACAATCACTTGGACTGTTAGGGATCGAATGGCGACATGCAAGAAGTGAGATCATCACTATACAATACTGACCAGTCCAAGCAGTTAAATACATTAGATTAATTTGATTCACCATACCTACAGTAAAATAAGATAAGAAGGCCCACCTGTAACTGATCAGTGAGGTGTGGAGCAGTGGTGAAGACATTATCAGCTGGGATAATTGTGTGTGCAGTGCGAGCATCAGTGATGATGATAGGCGTATTGAAAGCGTGTAATGGTGCGGCTGTCCCTGATACTACTGTGGCAGGTCCAAGAGCTACCACACCTGTCAAACATAATAATTACTATTATTAATAAAAACAATTGAACTGTAGCTACAAGAATCATGAGATCCAGAAAAAGAAATCCATTCTATTTTTCGAAATCCTGTACTGTTGCCTTCTTTGTTGTTCTTGAAATAGGGTGGAATGTTCAAGTTGTTCCATGATTCATTTTATTTGTCTAGAGAGGGAATGCCATTTCTGTTCCAATCTGCATCTCTTCCTCTTTTTTTTCTTGGGGGTATGTTGCATAAGCAAATTTCTAGTGCTACCGAGTATTTTTCCAGGCACAGGTTTAGGTTTGCATTTTCTAGCTATTCTTCCCAGATTATGTCTATGAGGTTTTTGTTTATTTAATCCCAGTTAATGTTCATTATTATAATTAAATTGGCTGTATTCTCCTCCTCCTCCTTTAGAATGTAGGATTGGCTGCACAGGTCTGAACTTACTGTATGTGGTACACATACAGTAAATTGATCACAACTTAAATTAAGTTGTGATCTGAGTAACAGGCATTTGTAATCATTATGTTCCTGGTCAATTCATTGTTATTTGTGAAGAGAAGGTCTCACATTTTCTTTTCTAGTAGGTTCTACTATTTGCTGGTTTAAGGCAAATCTGTCACACATCCGTATTTGTGTGCGAGTTCACTTATGTTACTTTCTAGGAGTCTCTCTGATATAGCTGCATTTGTTATGTTTTTACATTTTAGGTGTTGTAGGTTGAAGTCCCCAAACAAGATGATGTTTGGGGCTGGATTTGTGAGTTTTTCTAAGCAGTATTCTATTTTCATTAGCTGGTTTTTAAACTGCTGAGGATTTGCCTCTGGTGACTTATATACAAGGGCAATAACCACATTTAGGATCTCTATTTTGATTACAGCACTTCCACCATATCATTTGTGGTGTTTAACAGCTCAGTGCATATGAGTGTATCTTTGATGTACAAGCTGACAGCCTGTGCTTCCTGTCATATCTGAAAAGGTTGTACTCTGGAATCCATATTTCGCAATCACAGTGAAATATCTATATCATACTGTATTATAATAGTCATTTGTGTGGGTTTCAGCTAAGGCTGCAAACACTGCATTTGCCTCTTTTAGAAGGCCAGCTATAAAGTGAACTTTGTTTCATTTGCATGTTTTTATACCCTGAATGTTAGCAAATACAAATGATGTTATTGTATTTGTTGAAGTGTTCGACATTTTACTTAGTGTAAATATCTGGGGCTGGGGGCTCAGGTAAGGGGGCCACTGTTTTTGTCTCCTCTAGCATTTGACTGAGTTGGTGGTAAAGTCTAAACATTTTTAGCCATTCTTCTCTTCTTCCTCTTGCTAAAAATAAATCTCCCTAGTATATATTTTGGGCTCTCTTATTTAAAGAGCTCTTGCAAAGTTTTGGGTGAAAAAAGTTGAAGTTTTTGGAACATTTACCTGTACTAAGGATATTTCTACACTTTCTATGGTGATTGTACAGTATTTGCATGTTCTTCCTGATGTCCCATATTTACATATATCCTATCCCAAGATCTACTAACAGGTTTTGGCAGATCTTCTTTCAATAATCTCAGGGTTTTGTTGATGAGGTGATGAACAGCTCAGTGATATCCAGACTAGCAAGCTTCCTATTCTTCACCTTATTGTTCTTGATAATCTGTAGTAAATTGTCGGTGTGTGTCAAGATGTGCATAATACAGTAGTATCAAACTATTTTGATAAGGATTTTTAATAAATGCCAACAATTAGGTCTAGGAGGAGTGATAGAAATACCAAAGGTGGACTACAGTATATAGGAATAGGAATATTGGGTTTATGGAGTTTGTGGCAGATTGTTTTAGTATCTTTCTGGGCTTTTTACAGAAATTTCTCTATTTCTTCACCTCCTATCATGTCACTATAGAACAAATCTCAACATTTCTAAAATCCAGCATTTTGCTGTTACAGCATATGACCTTATCCATAAAATCATTGCCACTACCTTTTACTGCCAAGGTAAATGATATTCTGATCCATGGTTTCTAGCAACAAAGTACTAAACCTGCTTGGTTAAAAGGTGTAAATGCCATAGACCATTTACTATTCTTAATTTGAAAAATAATATAGCTTTTAAATCTAGATATTGTATTCGAGAGAAATAAGGTACTGTAGATATCTCGGTACCCAGTAAAGGTGGCTGCGGTGGTTGAGAGTCCTGGAGAAGCCTCACTGTTTGCCTCAAGGCCTGATCAGGGTCCCCACAGGCATCATATATTCGTATCCCTGCAAAGACACATGCAAATACAGAACTAGTTAAATAAATTAATACTTGCATCATAAGGATACATACAAATTTATGAAATAAAAGTTATGGTTGTTCCTTTTAAAAACAATGTCAAGAAATTAAAATGTCTACACAAATACCAAAAGCTTGGGTAATAAATTGTACATATTATGCATATACACAAAGAAAGTAAATGAGATAATGGAAGGGGAAAATCCATCTCTCTGAGTACCACCCACCATTTAAAGAATGAAGAGATGTAATGAACTTGTTTTATATGAGAACTTGACTGCAATCAGTAAGGAGAAACTTAATAGCATGGGACACTGAAAATCTGTCTGGTGCAATTCAGTGGGTCAAATTGGAAATAAACTTGAGTTTACCTGAAGTAGGTTCCAGGAGTTCTACTTCCCAAGCCCAGCCTGGGGCCAGGCTTGATTTGTGATAAGTTGGTTGAATGGGCTGTTACTTGAAGCAACATATCCACTACAATCTGGTTGGTCGAGTACATCTTGCAGGAACTTCTCTAATTGTTTCTTAAGAAGTCCACCTTTGTTCCAGTATTCTCTGATTGTGCCTATGACTCTCTACTCCTCACTGGTTCTATTCTGCATATTTTTCCATATCATTTGACAAGCCACCGACTTCCTGTCCACTTTGAGGCCACTAGTGTTAGTAGCCCTCAGGTAAATTTGCTCCACTATGTTACTTTATTGTACAAATTTGGGACTCAGCCTTCCAGTATCTCCAATGTACAGGTATATATTTGATACCTCTCGTCTCCATTCTATTGAGTACGTTTTGAGAGCTTTGAGACAGTCCCAATAATTTAGGTGCTTTATCATATCTGTGTGTGTGTGTGTGGTATATGTTCTCTGTATTACCTTTATTTCAGAACTCTTTCCTGCTCTGAAAGGGAAATTGAGTAAAGAGCAGTACTCGTGGTGAGACAACATTAGTGATTTAAATAGTATGAACATTGTGGTGGAATTCCTGAATTTGAACATTCATGCTACTTACTCGGGTGCTAAATATAACTTTTGTTTCTCTCTCCTAACCTGTACTCTTGCAACGTTTCTATCTGCCTGGTTTCCTCTCATACTGTATATGTTTTACTCTGCTTCTGCCTGCCTCTACAAAATTTTCAGAATTATCATATTGGTCCTCCTCCAATCAATAATGCTTTGTTCCTTTGATGTGAAAATCTGGGCACTGAAGATCATAGCATTCCCTCTTATTGAGAGTTTGCACAGCTTAGGGTGGAAGTATCTACGTAATGTTCCAAAATGGCATACACTTTTCCTTAGCATGTTTCAGAATTTTCTGGGATGTACAAAATTGCATTTTGTGCCTTTGGGCCACATATATGCATAGTGGTAGTGTTAAATTATGGAGCAGAACATAAGAAGATGAATGTGAAAAGACCAGAGTGCAAACACAAACTAGCAGATTCATTGTCAATCACAATTTAATGTGTATGGATACATTTATATGGAAATACCAAGATGAGAACAGACAAATTTCCAGATAACATTTCATTATCATGGATAAAAAGGTAGAGGGGTTGTATCAGGTGGGTTGAGTTAAGTGAGATGAATGCGAGTCACAATGAGATCGTGCATCACAATTTATATTAATGAAGTATTAATTCAGCAAGAGAGATAACAATATTATACAGTATTTTCTTTCAACGGTGTTGTAGTGTTGGATTGCTGAGGCTCTATACACTAACTTCTAATGTTGTTTTCTAGTTTGATAATGAGTTTAATATCCCTGGAGCCATCAAACATACAAAGAGAATGTGTTGTTTGTCGTACCAATGGTGTAGTCATGGTAGGATTGGTTGTTAATGGTAGCGAGGGCCCACTCTGCAGCGCCCACCTGCTCCACTGCCCGGCTGCTCAACCCACCACACCCACCAGTTGACCCACGGCGCCCATGTAAGTCGCCCACAACACCTGTACCAACCAAACTGCATTGTAAAACATTTACTATTGTAAAATTAAACATATTTGTTAATAAATAAATAACTCGACCTACACATAAAGATATTTGATCAAAATAGTAGGAGAAAACATGATCCTTCATTATTTTATATATATATATATATATATATATATATATATATATATATATATATATATATATATATATATATATATATATATGTCGTACCTAGTAGCCAGAACTCACTTCTCAGCCTACTATTCAAGGCCCGATTTGCCTAGTAAGCCAAGTTTTCCTGAATTAATATATTTACTATAATTTTTTTCTTATGAAATGATAAAGCAACCCTTTTCTCTATGTATGAGGTCAATTTTATTTTATTGGAGTTAAAATTAACGTAGATATATGACCGAACCTAACCAACCCTACCTAACCTAACCTAACCTATATTTATAGGTAAGGTTAGGTTAGGTAGCCAAAAAAAGCTAGGTTAGGTTAGGTTAGGTAGGTTAGGTAGACGAAAAAACATTAATTCATGAAAACTTGGCTTATTAGGCAAATCGGGCCTTGAATAGTAGGCTGAGAAGTGCGTTCTGGCTATTAGGTACGACATATATATATATATATATATATATTATATATATATATATATATATATATATATATATAATAAAGGTACATTGGGTTGTAAGAGTTTATAATGAGCAGTGCAATGCCACTAACATACATAGCATTTTGGGCAGGTCCTTAAGCTATCTGAAAAATGTAATAATAGGTACATTGTAGAACAAATATATTCTAAATATATTTTATTTGATCCTAGATGATCTTTTCTAGGTATATTATAAACTTGACACAGTTTTGGCAGTTACGGTTTTGGCGGGTAGGGGGTTCCATGGGTTAATAACCCTGTGGATAAAAAAGCATCTGTTCTCAGTCCGACATTGTGGCTTGTTGAGCTGAAACCGTTGCTCCTTGTTTGTGTTGCATATGACCTTTTGAAGAAATTTTCCAGATCAACATCCTCTAACTTGTTCAGTATTTTAAGAAGTATAGGTTAGGAATTGTCTCCAAAGAATTCTCAAAGAATTACTCATTATTGCTAACTAAGATAATTAGACGAGCCAAAACTAATTACTACGAAGATAAATTTACTCAAATAAAGAGCAACATTAAACAAACTTGGAGCACAATTTCACAAATATTGGGATCAAAGAAATCTTTAAATAACAAACCGACTCTCCTGTCTAATAACGATGGTCAGCTTTCAGCCTCTGATTCTGCTATTGAGTTCAATAGGTTCTTCTCTTCCATTGGTTCATCCCTTGCAAATGATATTCCATCTTCCAGTACTGACATTAAGGACTATCTTACAGGTAACTATCCACAGTCTCTGTACCTAAAGCCTATTAACTCCACTGACGTCAATGAGATAATCCTTTCCCTTAAAACCAAGTCTGGTGCCCTTGAGGAGATACCAACTTTAATTTACAAAAAAGCCTCCAGATCTTTAGCCCCTGCTATTGCTTTGCTCTTCAACAAGTCACTTGAACTCCAAACCTTTCCAGATATTCTAAAAAAAAGCGAGAGTAACGCCTGTCCACAAATGTGGTGACCCCACAGATGTTAACAACTACAGACCTATATCAATTCTGCCAAACTTGTCAAAAAATTTTGAAAAACTTATATACAAGCAGCTTTACTCATATCTAGCCAAACTCAATATACTTAGCCCTTGCCAATATGGCTTCAGACCCAAAAAAAGCACTAACGATGCACTTATTAGTATGCTTAACTCGATTCATACAGCTCTTGATAAAAAGGAGCTCCCTGTTGGGTTATTTGTGGACCTGCGTAAAGCTTTTGATACTGTCAACCACCATAACCTTCTTCTTAAATTACATCATTATGGAGTCAGAGGACACTCCCTACAATACCTCGAGTCCTACCTTACTGACAGGCTCCAATATGTTTCTGTGAATAATACAATTTCTCCCACCCTACCCATCAACATTGGTGTTCCTCAGGGCAGCATACTTGGCCCTCTCCTCTTTCTCATCTACATTAATGACCTTCCAAATGCCTCCCAACACCTCAAACCAATTCTATTTGCTGACGACACAACCTTCATTTACTCCAGTCCTGACCCTCTTGCTCTAAATGCCACAGTAAATACTGAGCTAAATAAAGTCCATCTTTGGCTAACTGCCAACAAACTCACCCTTAACATTGACAAAACCTTCTATATTCTGTTTGGCAATAAATCCTCTAGTCTTATAAATCTCAAAATAAACAATACCCAAATTTGTAACAAATTAGATGGCAAATTCCTTGGCATTCTCATTGACCACAAGCTGAATTTCCAGGGACACATTCTAAATATATCAAAAAAAGTTTCAAAAACTGTGGGTATTCTTTCTAAGATCAGATATTATGTACCGCGCCCTGCTCTGGTGACTCTCTATTACTCCCTTATCTATCCTTATCTCAACTATGGTATTTGTGCTTGGGGTTCTACTACCCAAAATCACTTACGTCCTCTAATTACCCAACACAAAGCCGCTATTAGAACAATATCCAACTCTGGCCCCAGACATCACTCGGTACCCCTACTCAAATCTCTTAATATGTTAGATATTAAGTCACTGCACATTCTCTCATGTGTATTATACATATATAAAACGCTAAACTATAATGCCAATCCTGATCTTAAAAGCTTCATAGAAGGTTGTAACAGAACCCATGAGCACCACACCAGAAATAAATACAGTTTTGATATTCCTAGAGTACGTCTTAATCAAACTAGAAATGCTCTGCAAATCAAGGGGCCCAGAATGTGGAATGACCTTCCCAACCATGTTAAAGACTGTACCTCTCTCAACCAGTTTAAGATAAAAACTAAACACTACCTAATAAATTCCCTGTAATCTACCTCACTCCTCTATTGTCAACCCATGTCTGTTATTTTCTTTTTTTTTTTTTCTTTTTTTTTTAATCAACACTGTTTGTCAACCTATTGTATTTGTGCTGCTTTTTCAGTCATGTTCCCCCTTTTTTTTTATCTTTATTTGTATTTGTTCTCAACATCTTTTATTCTTTATGCTCAATTAGTATTAAGTTCTAGATATTAATGTTTTTCTTGCCCGAAACGCATTGCGTAATAGTGGCTTTAGGCATTGTATGTACTAGCTCTATCTATATATCAATCCATTAATGTAACATCACTTGTATGTATATACCTTACCTGAATAAACATCTGAATCTGAATCTTAAGTTTCAATGAGATCTGTCCCTGTCATGCCTGGTTTGCAGTGTTGATAGCCCTGTGTCCTTCAAGCGTTCTTGATATGGGTGATGACTTAGCTCTGAAATAACTTTTGTTGCCCGGTATTGCACCTTTTCCAGAGCAGCTCTGTCCTTCTGGAAATGAGGTTTCCATGCTTGGATACAGTATTCCAAATGGGGGCACACCAGAGATTTATACAATTGAACTATTACCTTATTTTCCTTATAGTCAAAAGTACACTTGATTATCCCAAGAGTTTTGTTAGCTTTTCTGACTGCTGCACCCACCTGTTGTGCAACTTTTAATGAGTGGTGAATTTTAACTCCAAAGTACTTTTCTTCGTCAATCTGCCGTAATGCAATGCTATTAATTTGGTAGTCGTGGCATGGGTTGTTATACCCCACTTGCATGGTCTTGCATTTGTCAGTATTAAAAAGCATTTGCCAGTCTTCTGACCATTTGTGGAGTTCATATAGATCTCTTTGTAGGCTTCAATATCATTATTATTTCCCACTTATAAATCTTTGTGTCGTCTGCAAATTTGATGATGTGGTTTGTAATATTCTCATCTATGCCATTGACGTATATGACAAAAACGGTAGGTCCGAAAATGGCCCTTTTTTATTTTTAGTTTAGTTTAGTGCATTTATTATGCACCCCATACCCATCTTGTGGGCGGTAGTGGAAAGAGTTACAGAGGCACATAATGGGCTCAGGGACTGAGCCCCACAATTCATTTAGATAAGCAAGTTGCAATCTTTATGAGCTAGTTACAAAGTTAAATACACATTGTCACATTGTTATAGGGGGCGAGATCGATCACAAGTACAGTTTCTAAATTAAGCCTTTATGTGTTTTTTTTATATTCGTCGTCCATCTTAAAACATGGTGGTCGCATGAGGGGATTAGCTTTTCTCCTCACAAGAATTTTATCAATCATACCCTCTTCTGTTGTTAGCACAAGATCTAAAACATATAATAGCATATTGTGCGTATTTAGGCATTGGTTAGGTGTTTAGATTCTGTTGGCGATTATTTATATTTATAGTACGTGGGTGAAGCATTTACAGCGTTGTGGCTCCAACGAAAGTCGTCAACGAAGCGCTTGTTCCGGAAGTGTTCAGTCGTCATCAGTTTGACTCGGCCCGTCCTGTTACAGGGGACTAAATAACACTATACTGTACTGAGATTACCGAGAAACTCAAGTCGTATGAACAGAAAGACTATAATTTATCCTAAAACACTAATGTGTTTATAAAATCAGTGTTTTAAATAAATAAATAAATTTTAGTGTGGAGAGGAAGAGGTGTGATACTCACCTATAGTAACGTCCCCCAGCAGGGACAGAGGTGCGGGGTCCAGCGACCAAGTCACTCCCACAGCTCCTACCAATATTATCAGTAACATTCTCGCCTGAAAAATAAGACAAAACGTGAATTAACCAGACTAATAACTTCGAAGAGTATTTACGTCCTGTTTCAACCAGCGACTGCATTCCTTCAATGCCACCTCTTGAGAAGAGCACTAAAAATAATACAAATGTCCTGATATATGGGTTCATATTCTGAAGTATTGTCAGAGTCGCAATTCTACCAAGTCTATCCAAAACAGGTTCATGTCAGTTCAGCCAGTGCAGACTACTTATCACATGCTTCTGTATAACTAACCATCCTGTGTGATGGGGATTTTTAGCATCACGTAGTTAGCTAGTTTTTGACACACTGTCATATTGTCTAGGGCAGCTGCACAAATGCAGATGTACCTAAATGTATTAATAAAAAAATAAGTTCAGCCCTCAACTGTTAGGAAAACTATGTAAATTTCGTATTATTGATCTAGTGAAGGTAAAGGAAAGGCCCAATATATATGTTGACCAAGTAAGTAAGTAATTATTAAAAGAAGACATCAAACCGGGAAGGTTATGTAATATGTTTACCAAACCACACACTAGAAAGTGAAGGAACGAAAGTGAGAATGGTCCAGGACCTAGATTCACAAAGCTCCATGTATTTCTTCGTAAGCAGGTTTGCTACGAAGGTTCCTAGGAACAAAACTGGACAGTTTTCTGCAAGAACTTCGGACGAACCGGGTTGAAATCGATATGTGGGCCTGCGGGCACCCCAAGCAACAGCCTGTTGGACCAAGTTCTCCACGCATGCTCCAGCGGCTTTGTATGCATATTTTTTTATTTAACATGCTTAGGTAGACACAGCAATGTGCTGCTACCCTATTCTATATGAAAGATTACACAGCGTAGATCAAAAACTAGCTATAAGTTAATCTAATATCCCCATCTCACAGGATGGTTAGTTATACATGGAATCAGGAGAGAACATTAAATGTAAGGCTGATCTATTAGCCTCCACTAGCAAAATCTCGGTACAGCACAAGAATATCTTTCAATATTCCTGAGTATATGAAGTAATTACAGAGCTCAAAGTACCTCACACCATTTGGCCTGAAATCATTGATAAAAGGGCAATCACAGATATAATGTTGATATATAATGTATGTCCTAGCAACCTAGCTCTTGTTCACATAGTTTACAATTGGAATGTTCACCATTGGGGGATTCATTACCTGCAGCCACCTACCATTGATAACGATATCCCAGCCTAATTCTGGCAATTACAATACAATATCACACTGTCTAGTGGATGTCTAAGTGCAAACATGTGTTTCGGGTAATATGATCAACTTTAATTAAATTAAACTACGTGTTGAAAATTATATTTTAGTCGAGTAAGGAACTTAACTTGAGGTTTATGTAAGTAATTTTTTTATTTTTTTTATTTATATATTCAAGAGTTCTTATATTCTTATATGATACATAGTCTTCCCGGCTTGGTGCCTTCTTCAGATAATTACTTACTTATATTCTTGTAAATTAATTCATTCATCATACCCCCAAGTGGATACTTTATTGATACGCAGCACTGAGAAACTTGCTACACCGTTTGCCGCTAAGTGGCAAACGGTGACGTTGCTTGGTCTGCGTGAAGAAAACACTTAAAACAGTCTTCAAATTACACGGCTGGCAGCCTCATGACGAGAAGGCTGGGCTCATTGCCTGACTAAAGCCCTCAGAGTCATCATTCCATTGGTCCCAACCTAACGCTGACAGCCTGGGTTAGAATTTATAAAGCATTTTCGTGTATATTACAACATTTGTACCTCTTATCTTTACCATGGCGGCTCAGTCAATAATTTCTTAACAGTTTACGAAGTCATCCTCAACCCAATGTCATTATCGTGGACGATTTCGTAGCACTTCGTTGCTCGTAAACTTTTAAATAGCCACTAAGTCTCCATTGACTGCATCTTCTTTAATGACTTTGCGATGTGCGAAGCTGTGACAAAGCCTCACACCTAAATTAACAAAAAAGAGAAAATTTAATTTCTCACTGATATGTTCGTCAATGAAGTATTGCTTATCATCTATTGTAAGTTTTCTTGGTTGGTTCTTGGTTTATTTCTATCAATCTGTACAGGGGTTACTAAGGCCTCCAAAATAACTTATTAGTCTACCAGCAACTACACTTTAGTTGTGACCAAATTTGACGACTATAGTAAACTCCGTGTATATAGAGAAGTGTGGTACATCTATACTGGTGTATATAGCCCCTTGTGCAGACATCTGAATTTCAGCTAGGACTAATGCAACCAAATTATTACTTTCAAAGAAGTAAAGGTTCAAATTAAATTAATAAATCGACGACCCGAAACCAATTTATCCGAAAAACGGAAAGTCATCTCGGGGAAAGCAAAATATATATTTTGCTTCGCTTATGTGACCATTGTTGTGACCAATACACTAGAAAGTACTAATACAGGCGTCAACATATCTTTTTTAATAATTTGCAAATTCGAAAAAAACTATAGGAAAATGTGAAGTACTTGCACTCATGAACCAATCAGTCTTGCACTCAGCCCCTCAATCCCAGCTCAGAGTTGCAATAGGATGCTCTGTAGGATAATGGTTTACGTCCTCGACTCATAATCGAGGATTCTGAGTTCGACCCCAGGTGGAACAGAAATAATTTAGCACATTTTTTTTCATTTGATGTCTCCGATTGCCTAGTAGTAAAAAAGTACCCTAGAGTTAGGGAATTATTGTGTTGTATCCTGATGAAGGTTAGTAGTTGGCATAAGAGGACCTGGAGAAGCCTAATAGGCTTCCTGTCCCCGACAACGGGCATTATGTCCAGGTTATTGCTGGCAACGTGTTCCACCCAACAGCACTACTGTGTGTTGCTGACCCCACACTCAGGTATTGATTAATGAACTTTCAAGCCGCTCAAGTGAACAAATTGACGTTGGTTGGGGGGGCATTACAGTCCCCACAAGAATCCCACAGATGAGTGTCGCTGGCAACTCCTGCCACGCACTGTCTCTCTCATTCCCAAAGAAATTGTATATATGGATGACCCTTTTGTCCTGGTGTTTCCTGGTCAGGCTAGCCTCCACTTATATCCCGGCACCTCCACCTGCCTCTATCCTCGCCTCTCTAGCTCTCTGGCCAATGGGGGTTTGTCATATATATCCGTGTATGGAGATTATCTCCTCCCCTTCCTGCCGCTTTCAGGCGAGACTGTCGCTGGTAATATTGGCTGTGAAGGCTTGACTACCTGTACCTTTAAGATATCATGGATGAATGTAGTGTTACTGGTCCTCTAAGCCTGGGGCTCTTCCCCCAAGCCTGTCGTTCGCCAGTCAAGCTTGGTGCTCTTCCGCTAAGTCTCGCGCTGAGCCCGCCAAGCTTGGTGCTCTTCCGCCAAGTCTCGCGCTGAGCCCGCCAAGCTTGGTGCTCTTCCGCCAAGTCTCGCGCTGAGCCCGCCAAGCCTCGCGCTCTCGCGCCATGCAGCTCACAATACTGCTGGTTACTGTATAGTCACATGACAACACACATATTCCGGAAACAGCGTTAGAGCTATGCATGTTTACTAGAGAACCCTTGCCCTATAAATGTTCAAGGAAGAGAGTTCAATTCGTTCTCTTGATTTCCTTCACGAGAAATGTACGAACCCACCTAACTCATTGGAAGCTGATGCATAGAAAACGTCGTATCAGAGTGTTACAATCTATGAAGCCACTATTACGCATAGCGTTTCTGGCAAAATTGCTTTAATTGGTTCCAATAAGTCGTATTTTTGGCAGCCTGGTCGATTCCTAAGTAACTCTTAAACAAGCAAGTACTCTGGGGAATGTTAACTCTATACATAGCCTCTTGTAAGTATGCTGGACTATAATATATTTGCAATTTAAATTTGTACTTTTTATATAAAGTAGCAGAAGGGGAATACATAAAACTATTGCTCGGCATCATTCATACATACCCAGGGCAGGTTGGCCTCCTGGGACGTGGGGCAAAAATCGTCACCCTTGTGAAGGTTTCGGAATCTAAACTTTAGGAGTATTAATATGGCTGCCGGCAGGTCGTTGGCTAACATACCCTCAAGTCAATAATAATTATGAGCAGAAAGCACCAAGCTTTATCCTCAAAATTGGGTGGGATATGGGGGGACAAGGAACTACATTATCAGGATGTGCGAAAGGAAAAGTGTTTAATCACCTGGACCTTCCGGTCCAAGGGATTAAATTGACTTGTAGTTGAAGCGAACGCCCACCCTGTGAGAGACATGGCCGACGCTCTACCGACCAATCCAAAACGTCAATAAAAGCAAAAACCAAAGTAAACATTTCATATGTTAGAGGTTGCTTAGGTATCAGATCCTGCAAGTAGGAATTGGAAAACATATTCCAGGTTCAATCTTTGAGCCTATCAATCCAAACTTACAATCCCAGTCCTTATCCAATTTCCCAGTTCTCACATTACTTATCTTTAACATCACGAAATTTTCCCTGGAGTCAACTGTAAGATTTGCTTAATGTATCACATCGGAAAAACAACTTTTTTTCAGTCGACTCTTAGGAAAAATTTCCTGTTAGTATGATAGTGGAGTCAAATAACCTTGACTCAAGACATAATATTCAATATGAACAGAAGGGATAGATCAATGATTCTAGCATGAATCTCGTCTATATTTCTTATGGTCTTCACTTGTGAAGGAAGTTGAAAAATAAACTTTCCAAAGTTCCTTTTACACTATTAATGAGCTTGACGTGTGTCGCGAAAGTACACCTTAGCATCCTCGGGGCAAAAGCAAATGTGAAGGCAAATACCGTTACCTTCTTACAGCACTGAAGAAAAGATGTAGCCTATTGAATCCTACGAGAGTAAGGAGGCCCTATCATCTCTACACACAACAGCACCATCACCACAGATGGTGTGGCATCCCGATGGATGATATCTCGACCACCATCACTAAAATAAGTCACAGATAAAGAGACAATAAATGATCAGATATTGTTAAAACACTGCAACTCAAACTTATCCAATTATACACAGCCAA